AGAATGAGTAATAGCGAGTTTGCATAGCATAAGATGGCATAAAGTTAGCATATGGACGTTTTAGGGAGCTGCCGGTAAGGAAAATCTCCTCGAGTTGGCTGTCGAAGCTTCTCGAGCTCGTTGCACAGTTGGAGAGATCAGCGATGCGATGGAGAAAGTATTCACACGGTGAGATTAATAGTTTCTAAAAGTTTTCCTTTTTAATAGCTGTCGATATAAGAGGATACGGTAGCTACCCAGTTTGCCTCTCTAACACTGAACGAATGCTAACTAAAAATATTATTTCGTCGAGATTTTGTTAGAGGAGGAGGATCAAGGAATGATGGTGTGGAAGAATATCTAGAAGGAAAAAAAATAGTACTTTCTTTAAAATGTAATACGAATATGTGATTTTCCTAGCTACGCTGCTGTCAACAGAATGGTATCTGGAGCGTACAAATCTGAATTCGGAGAAACCAGCGAGATGGCTCAGGTGCACATCCACGATAGTCTCTAAAATTTTTACTTACCCTCTGACAATTTTTTACCGCTTAGGTGATGGACCGTGTGAAGGCCTTCGCAGCTAAAGAAGGACGTCAGCCCCGTATTATGGTAGCGAAGATGGGCCAAGATGGACACGATCGCGGAGCAAAAGTTGTCGCAACTGGATTCGCTGATCTTGGTATAGCCATTTATGATCTAATCTATAATAGGAGGCTTGAATTGCTCCATAGGCTTCGACGTCGACGTTGGACCACTGTTCCAAACACCAGCAGAAGCCGCCCAACAAGCTGTCGATGCTGATGTTCATGTGATTGGCGCTAGCAGTCTGGCTGCTGGACACTTGACCCTTGTCCCGGAACTTGTCAATGAACTGAAGAAACTTGGAAGACCGTGAGTTTAAAACGGAGTTCATGCTTTTTCTGAAAGGTATAGATAGCCTTTTCAGAGATATCATTGTCGTCGTCGGCGGTGTGATTCCCCCGCAGGACTACGATGCATTATATAAGGCTGGAGCATCCCTAATCTTCGGACCTGGAACCAGACTACCAAGCTGTGCTATGCAGGTAACTGGTTGTTGTATTATTCCCTAATAGCGTTATATTAGGGCGCCAGGTTATGCAGGAGAGGGTAAGACATCAACAGCCTAA